CTTTTTTGCTCCTCTACTTTCGCTAGAATAAATGCCTTTTTGCCTGCCTATTTGAGGTAAAATAAATGCCTGAACTTCCAGGTTCTAGCAGTGAATTTGATAAGTGATGACTGAAATGGGTTAATGCGGACTTAAATTGTGCGATAAAAATATTAAATTAAATTGTCAGTGGGGCGAGAAAGTTTGTGGTGTTGCAGTACTACAAGTTTTTTTTACTGTTCTTTGATACAAGGAAATAATCTTAAGGAGCAGTTTTTGAGAAATTGATTGAAAATTGCTTACATTCAACGAAAAACAGATTTGTCCCATTCTTTTAATCACAATATTTGGGGACATTTCTGAGAATATTTTGAAAATGTAATTGAGGCATTATGTAAAGTACCCCAAAATAAAATATCTGTTTCAAGTGGTCGGTGGAGGGTCTGTAGCCGAGTATGAACTGACGATCTGTATAATCAAAATCCCAATTTTTACAAAAAAATATTAATGAACTTTTTAATGAATTGTCTTCTGATATAAATGAACACAACACGTCCATGTTTTGTCGTATCAGTGGCGTATTGTGGCTGGGGCAGCCGGCTAAAAAAACGCATCGGTCCCCCGACGTAAGGGGTCCCCATTCGGGCATTCCCCACGGAAATACATCAGAACGGAAAACAAACCATATTCTTGTACCTATTTCATTTTAAATTCTTTATTTCATTCATTGCAGATAGGGACCATTTCCACTTTCTGCACCGGAGAACCTAGCTGTGCCTCTGCTTAGGATGTTAAATTAAATCAGCCGGGTCGGGCCGGCCGATTTCATTGAACACCCTAAGCAGTTATGTGGCTTGGTTCTCGGATTGGGCACTTTCCATCAGCACTATTGTTTGGACACGATTTACACTACAGTTCATTCCATGACCTTAGTTGATGTTCTTGCCGCTTCTAGTGGTAAAGATAATGAAATGAAATTCGTAAACATCTTACTGAAGGAAGGGACAGAATCGTAATCCCATTATTTTATTTCGAAACTTCAAAAAAATAGTCGGCACAGATAACAAAATAATTTACGCAAATAAGACAAAAATAATTTACATTGATTAAGGGGCCAATTTATCATTCCAAAATATGGTATAATTTACTCACTGTGCACAAAAGTACCCAGCTGCACAAATCTTGCACCGCTGCTTATGAATATTTAGTATTTTGAAGTTGGCAGATGGTACACCTTAATAGATATAGTTCAACTAACCTTCATTACGATTCCGAGTGTTTGGTAATACCCTAAATAAAACTTAATACTATGTACAACTCGGGATAATTCTGGATCAACATAATTGTATGGGTCTAATACATGCTTCCTCCACACGCTTTACATAACCTTACAATTGCACCGGAGAAAAGGCCGTCCCGACCATGCTGATGACGTCATTGGTGTGGACGGGCAAGCCCGCTGGTAAGCGCAGAAGTACTTGCCTTCCGACTTTTTGCAAACGGCAGAAGGGGCGGATCGGCTCGTCCCGTCCTGGCCATGACGGCCTACTGCGCGCTCCCTTGCGGAAAACAATGTAATCAACTTCTCAAAAGCCCCATCCGTTCCTAGGCTAAAAAAGGTCTTTCTTCCAGAACGGCCAACTTTACACAAACAACTCATCAAATGCACATTCTAGCATCAAGTGAAAATAAATTCCCCAAACATAATAAACAGAACTTTCAATAACACGCGAAATGCGTAAAATTACGTTGCAGCTGGTGTCAGACGAAGGCAGAAAATTGGTATTCCCCTCTGACTCCGCGCCGCGCTCCGAAGCGAGAGCCCTGCGCTGTGAGCAGGTGGCTTCTTGCGGTGCGAAAACGAGACCCTCCACTTTGACGCACACGGCCAAAGGGTAAACGCAGTAAAATATTAAGAGCCTGGAAGAGCACCAGACGCGCTCATTGGGCTTTCTTTGATTTGAAAATGATTTCATATACATCGACATTAATGCAATATCTTGAATAATGGATGCGAATAAATGGAAAATGTATATTTCTAACATACGATTTTTTCGATTAGCAAGCGTGTAATAAGTACCTAAGAACGAGCTGCCACCGCTTAATCACAAAATAAAATGAAACTTAGGGATGCTACACATGGCACAGCCTTTCTCGTACACGTAGTTAACTTGTTTAAACTTAATTTAAACTAGTTTAACTTAACAGACTAACAATTCTATAAAGTTTTCTTTTTTACATATCCATGTTGACTTTATCTAATAATTCTTACTTATTTTTTCTTCTCTTGCTTGGTTTTATTTCACGGCTCACCAATTTCTATTTGACATCAAATAGAAACACAACAAGCCAACACAAGGCTAAATAACATGAAGTACAATACAATATGCCTGACAAACACATAGAAATGGGCAACACAATGTTACTAAATTTCAGTCTGATTTGCCACACAAAACAATTTAGCACTGTACAGTACACGAGTTAAAAAAAAACAATTGATATTTCTGCACTGGAAACCACAAGTAATTACTAGGTAAGCGAGTTAGATTACCTCTTCACTTGTTATTTTATCAACCGTCTCCTTGCTCGGAGTGCCACACAGCACTAAGATGCGTGTTAAATGATCAATGTCTGGAGAAACATGGCGTTAAGGAGCTGCACCAAGCAATAAACAAGCTCAATGAACCTGAGGGTGCTCACACCCAACATTCGCCACGCTGGACACACGGATCCACGTGGGATTACACTAGCTGGTACAACAACATGTCAAACCCATGATGAAAAGACCTGAATCGCCCATAGAGGAGCCTATCCGGCTTCAGCCAATGAGCTTCATGAAGTAGTTTGCGTCACAATATTCGCGGGAATTTTATATACAGCCAGATACCACCGTGTTACAAGCCATTGAAACAGATATATGAAGCGTATTTTTTTTAAATATTGCATCTTTTATTTCAGCTTCGCGTTCATCGTGTTATTTTTCGTTGGTCACGGTTGAAAACTGTCAAATTATGCCACTTTCAAAAAGTTTCTCAACACTTCGCGTGGCATGCAGCGGGGCGACCAGCATCTAGCCTGACTTTTCAAACGAAGTGCCCGTGTTGTGGTCACGTGGTTCATGACGTATCATTCACATGCTGCGCAGAACAAGCAAAATCTATGCGCAGGAAAATTTTGAAGTGCTATGGTACTTGAGGATTAGAGTTTTGGAGCCGTTTTGTATCACGACCGTATACTGCGATTTATGAAGCTCTGCCCCTCACAAGTATCAGCTGTTGATGGTTTCATCAAATCGAGAGCTTAAACGTCACCATAGCAACGTCATTATGACGACGTTCAAGCTCCCAATTCGAGAAACCGCCAAGAGCTAATAACTGCCAGGAGCACGGTTAGAAAAATTGCATTATAGGAACGTTACGTGACGTCGATCAACCTGTCTGATATTGTAGCTCGTTCGTTCGTTCGTTCGTTCGTTCGTTCGTTCAAGTCAAAGAGCAAAGATCTTATCCGATGGTTCCTTTCTAATTAGAAGTACACAATGGCTCACGTTCTTTGAAGTCTCTTAAATCAATGTTTCAAGACAACTGTTCCTTACGAACGGTATACTTGGCGCTTTCTTGCAATGATTTAGTTACTAGTAGTTTGCTAGATAAAAGTATTATAAAAAAAACCTTTCCGTTGTAAATGTGAAATTGAATCATTTACTTTATTTTAAATTCATTTCATTATTTTATTTATTTTATTCTGATCATGAAAACTGTACTGTAATCCTGAAATCCTATTCTTCCACAAAAAAGGATCTTTTCAAGGAACGTTTTGTCTTTACAAAAAAATTTATTGATTAGATACTGAAAATTGTGTTTCCGAACACGAACCAACCGTCCTGTGGCGTTTGCCCTCGGGGGCAATTGCCCCCCTGACGGCGACGGGATCTTGGACGTCCGAATATTAACCTTTACAAAAACACTTTTTAAAGCGCTTTAGAGCCCTTAAACATTTACTTATTTTGCACGGTGTTGAACCAGCTGGTAGAATTTCATATCAATCCGAGTATCAAGCACAGTGAGTGTTGGGTGTTAGTCTATGAAATTAAACAAATCACTCTCATGCAAAATAGAAAACTGAAAACTTTCATCACTGAATTTTATCTTATAATTATCCTAGTCATGCACACATCTATATTAGTAATACAATACTGCTCTTAACATAAAAAGTTAAAGAAGCATTCTTTTAAAAAATTATTACAGTTAGCAATCAAAGAAAAGTAATGAACACTGTCAGGTAGATCTAGAAACTGATGGGATTGCTGACTGCCCAGAATTTGTAAACATTCTTAATATATTTCCTCATGCAGAAAATTGCTAAAATATTTCAAAAATCCCAACTAAGCTACATCACTCACGATGGTCTCCAATGAAAAATATATACACATTTTTATAAGACAAAAAATGTACAAAATCATTCTCCATTCGCTATTTATACTTCAAATAATTCTCATCAGAACCTGAGGCAAGAGCAATAAAAAAATTTAAAAAATCTTCAGCTATTGTGATTCCCACAACTTTACTACCTCAATTTCACAAAGAAATATAGGGGCCCAATAACCAGGAAATATTTTTGTACAAACAAAAACAGTGTTACAATTGATAAGTACATTTTCATTATTTAAACAAAAACTAAGGCTTTGTTAAACCAAAACTAAATGGCTTGTAAAAGGAAGCAGACTACTTTTAATAGAGGAAAGTTTATCCAGAAATTACATTAGTACCTACACAAAAATTCCAAAATAAATATAAAAAAATTAAAATTTGAAAAATGCATAATTTACTGCCCATGCGGTCATATTAATTTCTAAAATTCACAAAGTTGTTAACCAATTAGCCAATTTTGCATTTTAATCTACAGCAAAATTACAACTTCTACCATGCCAGAACTGTGAGAGAACTCTGCAAACCTACACTCGCCTCTACTGAATTCAAATTGCTCAACAACTGAAGGAAGCCCAAAGCTGTCGTACTCACCGACTCACTGGAAATTTTCTGCATGAAATCATCATTTGGAGTCCCCAAAATCTCCATGATAAGGTTTAGCTGATGAATGTCTACACACAGTGCTAAGGGCAGTTCTTGGTAAGAGTGCATGTAAGAGCAGGGCAGAACATGCTGGCCACTGCTCGAGTCTTCTACACACCAAGAAATTCCAAACAACTGACACAGCAGATTGCACACTTATAGACAATCATGCAGGGAACACAAGTTCAACAGACATTCTATGATACACATCCACAATAAAACAGGGGGGAAATTACACAGACTCACCCAGCTTGACCCTACACAAACTCATAAAATTAGAAGAGAAATAGTTTGCAACACTACCTAGCCAAGAGATAGAACACAACAAGCACAGCAAATTTACATTAAGCCTGTTTAAGAGCAAAGGATACGATCTGTTCCAGGGAACAAAGTTCTTCCAGTCAACAGCTCAGCCATTATGCACCCCACAGACCAGATGTCCACTGCGCACATAGCAATTAACAAAATTAGTTGATTTTCATTACACTACGTAAACAAAACAAAATTTAAAAAAGAAAAACATGAGACAATACATGTCGAGAACCTTTAAAAACTAAGCTTGTATTATTGACAGATTAATTGTATTGTGGTAAGAAATGGAGTGGTGTTTACGACACTGGCATTATTATTGAAACAGTAATTAGGCGTTCTTTTGTCGTAAGTGTTTATTCTTCCACGTTTTCTTTATGGAAACATTGCAACTATCTTCATGCAACTGTTTTGTCTATAACAGGACCCCCAACCACCTCAAAATCACACTGAAGATGGCCGCAATACGATTAAAAATGCTTTATGGAAAAACAAAAATTTATGACAAAACGACACCTTATATATATTTCTATAATAATTGTATTGAATCTCTAGTTCCCCTTCTGAATGTTTTACATTTCAATGAACATTAAAAAATTGAACCCTGAAGAAGAACTACTTATTCTGAAAATCAGTGTTTATCAGCAAATACATTTTGTCATCAAAAACAAAAAAAGAAAACACAGTTAAATACTGTAAGTGGAATGAGAAAAGGGAGTATTAAATATTTTTCAGTTAATTTGTAAGTGGTGAAAGTAAATAAAATTAATTTGAGGGAGGAACATTTGCAAATGTTCTTCACGCAAAAAATAAAACTTGGCTCCTCTGTTCACTGTATTTTTGTGTAATGTTTTAAAGCAATGCTAGATTTACATATTCCTATAGAATAAAATTGTGATAAAGATGCAAATTGTGATATAACAAAACTGCAATAAAATTAAATCATGGTTTTGATTATCTCTTAATGTATTTTTATTTTTTGAATAATCAAACTGTAATGGTTTCTTGGAGGAAAGAGCATAGTTTTAACACAAGAAATCTTTTAACCAGGTAGGATGTATTATTAAAAATTTCAATTGGTTCAGAGAATTAATTATCATAAGGAAAATGAAGTTAAAACAATAATTCAAAACGTGCACAAATATCACGGATGAATCTTCCACACAATGGTCTTGCTAACGTGATTTAAATCCTACATTTCAAAACATACATAGTGATGTCAATTATCCAAACTAATTGGGACCAAGTGTAGGTCAGATATTTGATAATTCGGAGAACCGGACATGAAAATGGCAAGTATTTCTGGTGGTAGGTGGTTCTGTATTTGGTGGTAGGTTGGTGGTGGGTTTTCTGTCAACAATGAACATTCCAAGTGAGTGACAGATGTTAAGCATTTACAATCAGTTTTTTGACAATGTACTGTTACTTCTCTTGCAGTTAAAGGCAGTGAAAAGTGTTTTCCTGCTAATATTAAACATTCCGAGTTCTTAAGCATTTATAGTAGCATTCAAAGTTAACTGAAGTCAGATGATTGACTATATAGTACAGTAACTCGTTAATATTTTATCACTGTCAATCATACCAGGGATCATTCTCAATATTCAGTGTTACAAAAGAACACAAATTTGTATAGTATAAAACGACCTAATATTATTACAAGTACCTAATTAAAAAAATAATTATTCAAAGAAAATATGAGTTTGGATATTTGAAGTTTTGGATAATTAACATTTAGACAATCGATGTCCCACTATATTTTCAATAGTGTTGTCAGTAGCTTATGTGCAGTCTTGGAAGACAATGAAAAAAGTAGAGAAAACATATGAATCAAATATAGAAATTTTGTTTGATCTGCTACTAAAATCATGAAAACAAATGTATATTCAAAATTAACATTTCCATTGTATAATTTAAAAAAACATATGGAAAGGTCATTACTCTACACACTATAAAAAACAATCGTTTTTTTAGTTATAAATTGCAAGTAATTAAGTTAAGACCACAATTTAATGTGTACATGAAAATTTAAGGAACTGTTCTAATGAACATTCCATAGCTACAATATTCATAAATGGCAGTCAAGTCTTATAATTGTTAGTCTGTTGGTTAGTTTAACAATTTTTTTTGGAGAGATATTACAACTCTACTGTGAGATGGTGAGTGGGCAAAGATGAGTGGTTCAAAGTAAAATCATTAGATTATCTAATTAAGAAATATTAAATTATAACATTTACCACAACTGTTGATTTGCTGTAAATGCACTGAACTAGGCAACAATTACTACTAAGCAAAAGGAACATCAAGTTTATCTTGCCTTCTATTATCACATGCTACATACAACGACAAAACGTGATAGTTTTACACTGTTGACTGGTACTTAATGCAGAAATGTCAGAGATGTACCACAGCTCATTTCCATTTAATCACTACATTGATTGTGTTTTCAGACTGTATTAGTAAATCATATACCATGATTTATTTTATGCTGTATCATACCTCTATTTATTTCATTATTCATTTATTTATATATTCATTGTGGTATTATAATTTTTGTAGAACATAAAATATACAATTGACATTATCAGGTAATTGCCTGTTCATTGTAATAAGAAATAAATTATCATCATAAATATTTAAGGTGTAAGTTTAATTAAGTTTATCAATATCACCTCATTTGCTTTCGAGGTGTTCTTGATCTTGAATAAATGAACAAATATATGTATTACATATGCACTTAATGCATACATTGTGCTTATATATTCTACTGTCGGCAGTTGTCACGATTACTGCGCTTGCCATGTACTCATTGCATGATCTGTCAAGCAAATTCCAAACTTCGGTCCTATTCTTTTGACATTTTTCAACCAGATACCTATACAGTTAGGATAATTCCAACAATGTGATAGTTTGATACTGGATGTCAAAAACACATGGCAGAAGTGTTCAGCTTGACACTCTATTCCCTTCTATTTAGTCATTTTGAGTCAGTAGTAAAAATGGAAGATTACGTCACTGAAAATGCTGCTACTATTGCAGTGACTAGGAAAACATTGTTAACATCATCACGTGACATCCAAACATCAAGCGCAAAGAAATTTGGTACAACGTATATGCATAATAAACAAATTACCAGGAAGACAAAGATGTTGTATTTACCAGTCTGATTGTAATGCATCCAATTGAGCATTATCTCAGGAGCACGGTACCATCTAGTAGCAACATAGCCTGTCATTTCATTTTCTGTTGGTCTAGCTAGTCCAAAATCCAGGATTTTCAGCTCACAATCTTCATTTACAGCAATATTTGATGGTTTCAAGTCCTACAAAACCAATTATTTATTTAGAAATTGACTAAAGCTAATTTAAATATCAACACCATGTTTTGTTTTCTCAGCAGCTGAACTGCAAAATTTAAAATTTTACCAACTTTAACAATTCAATTGAGAAGATCTACAACCGTATAAGGTGATTTATCAACTTCATCAATTTATGAAGAATTATTATGTCTATAAATAAAATGGACGGTTCACGGGTCTAGGTCAGTGGAAAGAATTAGATTATGTAGTTGTTTGTCAACATTTTGGAAAATATCATTTAGAAATTTGCCTTGCTTAATCAAGAATACACAAATTTTTCTCCTCTTTCACTTCATTTTTAGCAAATATGATACGTTGTTGTGGCATTCCTTCACAAGTGTTCCTCACACGGGTGAATCCAGCCGATCATTCTGGAGGGGGGATTTAATATTTTTTTATAAAATTATAAACATTTGTTATTTCATAGCATATTATTTTTGAAGTGTATATATGATAGTATACAATATTTTTTTAATAATTACACAATTGTAACATAAATAAATATTTAAATCAATTCTACCAAATAAAGGAAATTAACTATGCCTTTTCGTGGGGGGTATAGGCCCCAGTTCTGGCACTGTCTTCACATCATATGTAGTGTCACACATCCATGAATATGTAGCTTGTTCCTTATTGTTTTTCTGTTTTGTGGTTGCAAGTTATTGTAATTATGTTTATTATTTCCTTTCACAATTTTTTACTGTTAATCGTAAGTGGTAGAGTATGCTAAGTGTTTAAATCAACACAATGTAATTGTAGCATTTTTGATTTTGTAAATTTTTGATTTTGTAACCCTGATGATGGATATATATTTTCAGAAATATTGGCAAACAACTATATGATCTTATATTTTCCATTGGCCAGCCCTTCATTTTCAACAATTTAATACATTTATAATATATGATTATAAAATAACAAATAGCTGAAACTTTTTTTGGGGGGACAGAAACAAAAATAATACATACTCTGTGTATAATTCCTGCAGAATGAATATACTTTAAACCTCTTAATATCTGATAAACCAGAAACTGTACATGATCATCTGAAAGTTTTTGTGTTCTAACAATGTTGTGGAGGTCCGCTCCCATTAGGTGGGTCACAAGATACCTGTAATGTAATTTGTTGTCAATTAAATAAATAAAATAATGTATCCAAGAAATCAGACACACAAAATATTTTACTTACAAACTGTTAAAATCTTCCAGAGAAGATGACGGATGATATACATCCAAAAGTCCTATAACCTAAACACAAATTTGACAATGTGAAAGCTCAAAACAATGGATTTAATTTTTACAGAGCATTGTACACAATAAATATGACAAGTCATTCTTACATTTTCATGATTCATGTGCTTGAGCAGACGAAGTTCTCTGTATGTTCTCTTTGCGTGGACAGCCGACTGAAAGGGGCGGGTAAGTTTTTTGATAGCCACCCTTATCCCCAATTTCGTGTCATCTGCACAACTGTAACGTTAAAGAAAAATACTTCTTTCAGTCACGTCAAAATTCCATTCTGAACGAACTTCGGAACGCATTATACACAAAGATTTGTAGTAGTTGTTTTTAAGTCAATCCCACAAAAATAAATGAAACAAAAATAATTATATCTTCAATATTTGGAGACAAGTGCTATTGGGATCGACAGTTGAGACCACCCAAACGTTAATTAACGCATCACTCTGGCACGAATGGGAAGAAAATCACCATCATCTGAAGAATTCTAATTGGTCATTCTAGTATTATATTTAATGACAGCTGCACTAGCAATTAGCAAAAAAAGTAAATGAAACAAATAATCACCACACTTGACCGTAGGCTCCAGAACCTAGTCCTGCCAGCATCTGATAGCGTTCCGGGACCTCCCATTCGGTCCGGTTGATTTCAACTTTATAAAACGATGGCATGTTTCTTCTCGCCGGGTATCGAATAGACGTCACAAACACATTACACTATAACAAATTCCAAACACGCACTTCTCAAGAATTACTCCCGAATCGGCTTGAGCAGAGCGTCAGCTAGCGTACCCAGGGCCTGGCGAAGATCAGTGTGGGCGGGCTGGTCACAGAATAATCGGGTTTCAGAACCAGTTCTTTTAACTCTGCAGTTGGGATTCGTCAGACATCTCGCCCACACACAAACAGCGGTTCATTCAAATGAACGCCAAGCACCTAAAAAACCATTCGCGAATCTTCTGTTAAAAGCGATACAAGTTGAAATGGAAAACTGTGTATGTTTTCTTACCATTGATAGATTTTCATGCCATAGGTAGACAAAGGAGACCAGGCGAATCTACCAAATTTGCACAGCAAATTTTATTTAGTGTCCTACGCAAATAGAAATAAAACTAGTAAAAAGGCGCTAGCGTTAGGGCTAATAAATAGTTTTAATAATTTACCAACTTAATGATAAGAATAACTTGAGGTAAATCTTGGGTTCTAATCTTGTCGGAGTTAAGTAATACTTTGAACAGTTTGTATTATCTTATGAATCCTCCTCGGACTCTTAATGCTCAGAGCATATTGATGTCACTGCTATGCAGTGCCTCTGACCAGGAGGCCCTAAGGTTCGAATCCTGACGGTGGCAGGATTTTCGACACTACTTATATGGCTAAGTCGAATTCAGCTGTTGTCTCGAGGAGAATTCTGGCGCCCGGCTGTTCTGATCGGTAGTTTTACGTGGTTTCTCCCATCAACACCAGGTCAATGCCAGAGCAGTTCCGTAACAAATGTGCTAAGAACCGCGCGCGATATTTCTTTCCTCTTCCTTGTCCCTTTACTTGCCCACACTACACGACACATGCCGGGAGACGAGTCGGAAGCTTAGAACTGGTTTTCGCTGAGGCGGTGCCCCGCTGTTGGGAAACAGTAAGGGAACACCTCGCTAACCGACGTTTAGGTCGGTGCTGGATCTCGCCATCCAGCTGGCAAAGATCACCATCTCACGCGGTAAAAAATAATTACACGTTATTTAAGAGATTAACAACCTTAGCTGCTGTCGCGGAAAGACTAATCAATCAAACTTCGACCGCCACATAGCAAACCATTACTCTCTTTGGGAAGGTATGCAGAGGCTAACGTATTTCTGGCCTCCAAAAACACTTCACGTTACATCACACTTTGTACAGTTTTTATTAGCACTAGCTTCTTGTAGCATAGTGACTGGAGTAAAAGTTTTGAAGAAAGAAGAGTGTATGTGGATGTTGTAAGAGTATTATATTTAGGACCAGTGTTAACTGAAAAAAGAGTGGGGAAAGAATATCAACTTCAATTTTAGTTCATTGGAGGTTCTCTTCTGAAGAATATAGTTGTTGCAACAGCAAAAGCCAAGTAATTTTAAGACCTTAATTACCTTCAAAATTTTAATAACCTAAAAATAAAACTAGACAAGTGTTTGTGGTAAAAAATTAATTATCTTGGATATGTGAAGTGATGTGATAGTTAATTATATTGCTATTTGACCAGAATAGAAATCATGAGCTGCCACACTTTTTTTATTTACTTTCTTATTTACAAGTTACCAAACTTAGCGCAATCACATTTTAAAAATGGAGTTAATATTCTAAAAACAATAGTATCTGGCAATTTCAGGAATTGGATTTTGTTAACAAATAATATTCAGTGGTTGACCATTAAAGTGGATCCAAACTCTAGTCGATCTATTTCCTCATCATACCAGTGTTGGAAATTATTTTCAATACCAAACAAAATATTTTTGATTTTTATATAAGCTGTGAATAAAATAATGTTGTGATGTCTTGATTGGATTTATTATTTTAAGTATATTAACAAATAGAGGGATAATGAATAAATCAACACAACAAAGAGGACAGTGGTATTTTTTACTATTCTTTGATACAAACTTCAGTCAGTCATTCTGCTTTTCAGAAACACATTGTGTCTAACAAAAGGTTTACTTATTTTAAGAGATACCTGAAGTTAAAATTTAAGGTTGAAAAATATTGACATTAACTTAGCCAAGATAGTCATAAAAATCTATTACACATAAAACTAATATTTTTATAAAGTCAGAGACTTTCTAACAAGTGGGCATGCAGTGTTGATATGTTTATTAAATATGTTAACAAGTAGATTCCACTTTTTGTTCGAATTTGGTTCCAGGTATTCCTCTTTACAATCTTTTTCTTTCTTTTTATTTAGCTGTCAAAGATAACTGTCTTGTATATCTCTTGTAATGGAGAATTTCACTTTTTCTCAGTAGGATTCATAATTATGAATTTCTGTAGTTTGAACTATGTTTAAGAGTGTGGAAGATTTAAAACCACTGTTTGATTGCTTCCTTTTGTCTTTAACAACGTATCTAACCCACTAAGCTCATTCCTTGCTTCATTGCATGACAAATCATTGGAACCTGCCATTTTTTATTTTACCTCTGCATCATTTGTTAATTCTTTGAATAACATTCATGAACTTTGCTCTCAGTTTAACATTTTCCAGCACTTCAATATCCCCATCACTCAGTCTTTCATGTAATTTCACTGCCAGTCCTTTCCGATAACTGTATCCATAAACTGCTACCCTATAATACAAAACAGGATTACATAACTTCAAAAATTATCTTAAACACTTTCTTAGGCAAGAACTTTTTATAGCATTCAGGAATACCCAAGTAATTAATATGTGCAATCCGATTTCATGTACAAACAGATGTAGTAACCTGCCTTCCCACTTTTTCAAGATTTAAACTTTGAATGAACTAATATTGTTAAATTATATGTAGTTATCATTATTGATATCATGTACTATTATTATTATTATTATAATTTTACACATAAAACCATACAAATCTTGAAATGTTAAATTATTTTGCTACTAAAAATAATTATCTTCTGTATAATATCTTAATCTATATGTAACAAGTATTGTAGTATAATTCCCAGGCCCATGACCCCGATGGTTTTTTTGTTTTGTTTTTATCCAGTTCCCCTGGTCTTTTGAGTAAATGCTGAGATGGACCCTTGTTTTGCTTCTGGACAGGAATGTAACTTTACTCTCTGCACTCAAGACATAATATTGACTTGTCATACACAATTGTAATTGTATTTATGACTCAATAAAATAATAATAATTACTATTATTATTATTATTATTATTATTATTATTATTATTATTATTATATTATTATTGTTGTTGTTGGCATATAAGCCTTTACTGATCTCGCTACAAGATTTAAGTGTGTTTTTTTTCCAGGATCAGTTATTCAGCTGTATCCCTCAGTACGCCTTGAAGTGTGAATAATGACATGAATGATGAGATTTGTTATTATTGTTATTAATAATAATAGTGTTAATGTTTCACTTTTCTTTCTTTTTGGAATATATGGCTAATTTTGTCATTGTCCTCTTTTTAATTTTCCTTACAAATTCCCACTGTAAAGCATTTTCCAGAGCACAAATAGCAATAGTGCATGTACAACTTGGATTCTAATCATGTTTACCATGTTGCTTGGGAAAGTATTGGATTATATGAATTGTTTAAGAGGTTTCTGTCCTTTTAAATCTTTTACATTACTTACACACGTTTGCCCTTAATTTTCTGTAGGGAGCACTACAGAAAAAAGTGTTTGTAATGTTCTAATGAAATAACGTTTGTAAATATACAACTATTTGTGGAAGATAACTTCTGTTCTCATCTATTTGGCTGTCCGGGAGATGCTTCATCGTATGCACAAATGTCTCCCTGACAGCCACATAGATGCAGACTCTGGCCACGGAAGCCAACGATTTCGACTTCTTTTCTTCTCCATTACGGATTTCCACAATATTATTACAGACCACCAATTTCATTTGATATAAATCATCAAAGATGTTTTGGGTTATTAAATAAGAAACCATGTTTGTACTTCAAGGAAAAATAAACACAGATGACGATGGAAGAAGAAAAATATATTTTATAATATATGAAAAATGTTTTACAAAACAAAGGCTATTCACATAACATGGAGACTTCATCAACTTCGTTCAAGGTAACCTTGTTTTGTTACCACGAACAAGTTTTGATTCTTCAGTTGCAATTTCATTGTTAAATAGACAAAACAGTCTTTATATTAAAACTGACCAATAAAATGGGCAATAACACAACCAAAGGGCATCATAATTCCATTTCCTTGTATATTAACATTTATTGTCCATACCGCCACACAACAACTGGATGCTTTCTGAAGCAACAGAGGTAGCATTCTTTACATTGGCACACATCTTACATTAACCAGCAGCAATAAAACTGGCACTTTACAGTTAGTCTACACACACACACTAATCATATACCAATTTACAAACGTCACAAAATGGCAAGTTTGCTTGTTTTTTGTAATTTTTTTTAATATTTTGAAGTTTTATGCACATCTGAAAGAGACTATCTATTGCATCAGAACTGTGAATTTGTTTCTTTCTTAATAACCTTTTATTAAATTGATGTGACTATCAGATAGCATATCATTTAGTGGCTACTAATTAGCTGTTCTTGCAAGTAAAACACTCAATTACAAAGTGTTTTGGTATGGACAACATGGAACCGTTTGATCATTAGATTTAAGCAATAAATTGCTGCAAGCACAGTTTACAGCATATGGGTTTATGTACAAGATACTAAGATGCAACTCCACAATACAACTAGTCAGGAACATTCATTCATAGTATCAAGATTATTCATGGCAGATAGTACTAGGCATACAACACTGACAAAAAATCCACTTGCACCATGAATCAGGGCTACAAATTGAAGCAAGGTTAAACTTCAGTCAACGGAGAAAAACCAGCACCAGACACTGCTGAAGTCATGTTTTTCCACATATGGAGAATTTCACTACAGCAACACTTAAGTGATTTGTGTAAAAGAGTATTTGCCAAGTTACAAGCAGAGCTTAACTCATAGTTCCTCTAGCTCAGTTCAAAACCTGCACCAGCTTGGATAGCATACAAAAGCTTTTCTCGAAGGGTTTCCTCATCACTAAACTCTGGAAGTTTGAGCAAATTCATACATGTACTAGCGGTGGGAAGTCTATCAATAACACCCACATGCTGTATACAGAACGGAGGGTCCAATTCCTAAAAAGTAACAAACATTAGATCAATTATTATACTATTGAAAATAGGTATAATTTTAATACTACAGATATTGACTATATAAAGAACATACGTTTCCATTTTATAATAAAAGAAACCAACATTAATTACTGAGATATTTCAACCTAAGTGATAGAATTAAAAATACAAATTGTACCTTAAAACCCAGTAAAGGAGGTCGAGAGCAACTTGTCACAAATTTGAGAAGTTGTCGTTTTTGCAGATCTGTAAGGTTTTCCACAACTTTCCAGAATAATCTAATTGTAATATGCTCAGGAGCATATCCACCTGAATAACTTGTGTGCTGTTTCAAATCTTCAACATCTACTGGAACTTGAGCACCTGATATCAAAACTTGAAGTTCTTTGTTGTTGAACATTTGCAACCACTCTAAAGGTATCACATTTGCAAGTCCCTGTACAATTAAAATTTTATTAAAGAAAATTGTACTGACTGTGTAAAAACTTTCCAATTATATCCTTTGCCTCATATTTGAAGGTAATATTTTTGCAAATGAAAGTCCCTACACTTTTACTTCCTTGGAAATGTATTCAATTTAGGAAAATTTTCAAGATTTGTATAACCTGTATTTTCAAGATTTGTTACCTAATTCAAATTATTTTATCAGATCATTTGTACTGTCTCTATAAAGGCATCAATGATTTATCTATTAAAGCAATTCTCTGTTTATGAGACAAAATATCCCTTAACTTTGTTCATCTTATGAGCATTTGGAAAACAGAGGTATCATTTTTTGCTGTAAGTTTGCTTTACAGCTGGAATAGTACATTTATGTTGTCCAAAAACAAAATAAGGTTTTATTAATGGTTAACAATATATATGTGTATATTTTTGAAGTTAATTTCCACTTAATTCAAATTAATCACATTCATAAACGATTTTTCAATCACTGTTCATAGCAATTTGAGAAGACTGTGAGTATAGTATGAAAATGAACTCATTTTTTCGTTGATTTAATGGTAGTTTTGGATTTTGAGTTTTTTAAACCTTTTTATTAAATCTAACACCTTGATGCCAGAGAACGAGACTGTTCTCAGTCCATTTCGCAAATTTTTTCAGGAGAACCATTTAAAGTTTTTGTATGTAGTAGTACAAGGTGGAACAGGGTAAGTATGGAATGGGTTAGTATGGAATAAGTTTGTCACATCCTAATGGAGTGGAATATTTGCAATTTTGTTTAATGCACATGTGTAGTCAGGGATATAGAACACAGAGTAAATAATGATTATTTGATCAATGTATACCTTACTTCATCCTGCGTACCTGTTTAAAAGCATTGCACTGGGCTCGTATTTGTTTGTTTAATTTATAATCAGCAATAAGATGAATATATTCTATTCTATTGGAAGCAGTCACAGGAATGTTTGCTCCTTCTGGTTTCAGTTCATCCACCTGATAATAAAAATGATGATCAATCATAAAAGTCAAAAGAATTTTTACAACTCTTCCCTTTGTCACTGCAGAAAAGGCAATCAATAGGTTACAGAAGATGAATTTACTTAAAGATCAAATCTATTCTAAATTATCAAACTCAAAAGATGTTTATGAAGTAAATAACACAAGTAAGAATAAATAAAGTATTCAATCCTTGATTACAACTAGAGCTAAACTGAATATATTTGAGTTCATTAACAACAAAATCACTACCACTTGCAAACCTACCCGAGTTTCACCCAACTCCTCGTTGAGCACCGTGAAGTCTAATCCTAGATCTGCTACATCACCTTCATAACTCTTGAGAAATAATAAATTACGATACATTACAGGATCCAACGAAGCTAAGTGATGCACATCTACATCAGAATGACGTGTTACCAATTTAGAAAGAAAAAATTCTGCAAATGGGAGTTCCACAAGAAGGTTTTCATACAATGCCTGCAATCAAAAATTTGATTTTCAAATCATCATCATCATCATCATCATCATCATCATCATCACCACCACCACAATAACACAGAACGACTCTTAGTTTTTCGTCATCATTGAAATAGTAAAAATGCAAAAATGCTGTCTTTCATTTGATATCACTGGCCCATCCATCTTTCACATACCTTGCCCAACATGCGACCAATGAAGAAATAATGCCTTGGGAAGTCTTCAACGAGAAGATTAGCCGCTGGATTTGGATATAACAAATTATCTTTGGTTAGACGGAAAAATCCACGATTGGGATCAAAAGCAGTCTTCAGCAACTCTGAAAGAAATTCTCGGAAAAGACCCCCTCCATCAACACCAGCCTCGTCAGCTCCCGCAACATTCACCAGTTGCACTCTCATCTTGATGCGGAGTTCAGGCTCTATAGACAATAAAAATACAAAAATTATGCATAACATAGCGGTGTAAAGTATAACAGCAAGTTCTTTCTTGCATTAGTAATGGATAACTAATGTCATAAATCTGCAATTTCTGTCCATACTAAACAATTATCGCTTG